AAGTAACTTAAGAATAAAAAGTCCTTTTTGAATAATGAACGCCGCAGATATCTTTCTTTTAAAGAAACTGGAAATTAGTCTCTTTCTATAGCAAAATGTGTTTCATAAATTATTATAATTTATTAGTATGGATTATATATAAAATGTTCTATTTTAATCTTCCAGAAATATCTCTAAATATTTGAAAGGTATAGAAAAATGTTTCAGATAAAAAATTACAATTTATTTGACATTAATTTTAAGAATTCATAACTCAAGAATGATTTATGCTTAAAACAAATTTAGATAGTTTTTTATAAAATATTTTGATATATCTTTTTTGTTGTAATATATTTTTTCATATTCAAATATTTTTTCATATTTTTCCAAATATTTATTATTATTTTTAAAAATTTTTTTATCTTATGATATGATATAAAAAGAAATACTCTGTATATTATTATTATAATAATTCGAAATTTATTTTTTTTACAAATATTTAATATTATTACCACCACGATATGAATTATGATAACATTATAATTTATAATAATAATTAATAATCAATAAATAAATTTGCGATAATATTTTTTAGATATATTTAGATATAGGATTTATTAATATTTTTTAAACAAATAAAATATATAATAGAACGTTCTCTTGAAATTCGATCACATATTTTCTTTATATTGTTCAATTTTTATTATGTTTATATATATAGATATTTGTATTTGTACAGAGGGGACCATTTAAGTACAATGTATACACATGCACTTTGGGCAACGAGAGCACGAAGATTTCATCTTTTAGAGACAAAATATTTTTCTTGTCACTGTAAACGATGTGCCGATCCAACGGAATTGGGCACGCATCTTGGAACGTTAAAGTGCCCTCAAGACAATGGTTTTATTTTACCTAAGAATCCATTGGACTTTGATTCAGAATGGGGATGCGATTCGTGTCCTGGAACTCTTACCGCATCGGAAATGATGCAATTCATTGGAAAATTGGAGGAAGATGTCGATGACGTTATGTGTTCAGCGCGAAAGGATAAATTGGTTAATCTTCTATCACGGTAAAAAGATTTTTATTTTTTTATATTTAAATCAAATAACAAAAACAATGTCATTCTTAATATATGATATCTTTTTAAAATATAATAATAATTAAATTATTAATCTAAAAATTATTATTTTGTTTTTTGCTTTATTTTTAATATTTTTAATATATTTATTTTTAATATATTTTTAATATTAACAATGATTAATATAAATTGTTGTTTTTTTGCTTTCTGCTTTATTTTCAAATATTCTCAATAATTGATTTAAATTACAGAAAAGAATTGAGCAACCGTTCTAAGTTTTTTTTATTATATTTTGAATTAAAAATAAAAATTTATAAATAGAACTTAAAAAAAAGAGAGAAGTTTAATGTATTATATACAAAAAAAAATTAAAGATTTAATTTTGTTGATTTAAATGTTTTTTTTTTAAAGATATATATTGAATAGACTAGAATAGAATAGAAATATCATACATAATAGAACAAAATCATTTATTTTAAAACAATTAATAATAAAAATACTTTAAAACAATACTTTTAAAATATTTTGGTTATAACTTTTTTAGAATACAAATACATTTAAGAATATTGCTATCCAGAGTTATTTTTCATTAAAACTGCGATGAGAATGAAAGTTATTATTGAATAATTATTCTCAATGTAGAGTTTATTTGCAAAAAAATATCTTGAATAACAGAACTCTCAAGAGTTTCACTCTCAAATATTTTTATAACATCTTAACCAGAATTTGTATGCAGTTAAAAGGCTTAAAAACAGATTGAAAAAATGGAATAAACGACGTGGCTTCAAAATGCATGTATATTTTACAAAATTATTATTATTTCATTTTTCATTTTAAATAATGAAAATTTTCATTTTAAAATTAAATATATTTGATAAAGAAAAATGAAAACTAGTTTTAATTGGTATTCTCTCCCTTATTATTTTATCTTCTATTTTTATTTATTTTCAATATATTTATATATAATTATTCAATATATTATATTTTCAATATATATTATCTAATTGGATAAAAAATGCTTTTTTAAATAAACAAATTTTGTAAAAAAAACAATTTATTTTAATTTTAAACAAGTTTTAAAGATCAAGATAGTAATTCAATAATAATTATATATTTCAGGCTTACTACATTATTACATCCTGGACATCAACTGTGCATTACTGTCAGTCATTCATTGATTCAACTAATGTCCGCGGACAATCCTAAAAAACTTGAATTATGTAAACGTATTATAGAAACCACCGAAACATTGGATCCTTATGGTACGAGATTGGCATTATACACTGCAGTCACATTAAGAGAATTGTCTATTTGTCCCGGAGAAGATAGAAAATATCTTTTGTCTAAAGCACTATCGTTATTGCAATATGAGCCGCAATATTCAGCCGGTGAAAAGCTACGAATATTAATAGAATCCGAATTATAACAGTTCTATTATATTTAACTTTTAATAAAATGGTCTAATAATACAAAATTTTGAATTTTGAATTGTAAAAATTATTCATTATTTCTATATTATATTAAATTTATAATATGCATTAATATTATAAAAACTATTTTTATTATACTATCTTATCGCTATGGTATAAATGTAACATGACACAGGATTAAATCCTTTCGAGATGAATTTTTTTTTTTTTGACAATGGATGCGATATTATAATAGATATAATGAAATATAATATTTAAGTAAAATTTTCTATCTAGCATTTAACTAAAATGAAAACTAAAATTTTTATCTTTTTTTTTATAATGATTTTTTAAAAATAAACGAAACATGATTATAAATATCCAAAAGATAAATAAAATTCTGATTTTGTTTTAGAAATAAAAGATTATGTAAAACTTAAAATATTTCAAGATTTTTGTAATATTTTTTATTTTAAAAAATTAAGAATAGCTAGATAAAATATTTTAATTTAAAAGAACAGAATGAATTAAAGATCCTGTAGCAAAAGAAATGCAGATTTATTTTTGACAGTTTTTCAGTTATTATTCTGTGTAATATATATATGTATATAAATGTTCTGCAGGTAAAAAAATATTTTATTTCTGATTTTGGAATTGCTATTAAATATTGCAATTTGTGCAAATTTGCATTTTAAATTTGAAAAATTTGCCTAAAACTAAAGTGAATAATCAATTCAATTATAATACAATAATGTTATGTTATTTTGTTATGTTATTATTAATAAAAAAAAATATTTTTTTTATTAATTTAATTTTTTATTATTTAATTATTGTTTTCTTTTTAATATTAAATCAAAGCAATAATTTCATAAGAAATTTTTTCAATTTTTCTAAAATATAATTAGTGAAAATAAATTCGTATCACTCTTGCTATAGAATCCTCGAAAAAAAAAGTAAATTAAATTTAATTTTCAAAATCAAATCTTATAATCCAATAGATGATTTTATATTAAACAACAAATTATAACAATTCTTAATTTTTGTAAAAATTATTTTAGGATATATTAGGATATATTATTTTTAAATAGTTTTGAAATGGTGAAATGACATTTTGTCGATAATACAAAATAAACAATCATAATATTAACGATATAAAAGTGAATCGCAGCTACTAATTACACAGTACACATATCATTAGCACCGTGCTATATAGTTCTATGGTTCGTTTTTGCATGTCACATTTGGTTAAGGTAACGTTTTATTTACAATGTGAATGTAAACTATATCTACATCAAACAATATTATTGTTGAATGTGCTTGTTGTAAAAATAAAAGTAAAAAATGTGTCTTAAATTAAAAAAAAAAAAATGTAAATTTCAAATAAACGTTATTATTGGATTATAGCTTGTAAATCTAGACTAGATTTAGCCTCGAAATGGAGTAACGATTTTTCCATGATAAAAAAAAATGTTCTTTTATAATAAAACGGATATAATAAACATATTGATTCGCTTAGTAGATAGATATCGATAAATATTATTTTCGAATATAAATATTATTCGGAATAATTTTAAAATGAACTATAAACAGATGAATTTAATTTTTAATGACGATAAAAACAACGAAATGAAAGCATTTTAATAATTTATAGAATTTAATGGTGCATCAATCGATATTCGTATCTAAATCTTGGTTATTTAAATGAATTCGTTAATAAACTTTCGAATTAAGAGAGCTATCAAAAATAGAAATATCTTTGTTATTATATACATAATATTTCTTTAGGATAATTCTCTTCATTAGGTAACATTAGGAATTTTTTTACCTGTTTGCGACCGATGTCAATCAATTGAAATATATTTAATCATATTTAATCAATTAAATATATTCAATTGAAATATATTATAGTGAAGTGAAAAAGCACGTTTTAAATAAAATGCATTTAAACAGTAAAACCTTATGCAAGTAATACTTAACGAGATTCTTTAGATTCCCAAGAGGAATAAGTCAGACGTTCTACAAATAGGTATTTTGAAGTAATTTCTATTTTATAAAATTTTTTTTAGGTTTAAATTGTTAAAAAAAATTTTTTTTCATTCATTATTCATAATGAAAAATATTTAATAAAATCATTTAATTTTCATCTTAATATACAAAATTTTAGAAATATCTGAAATATTTGAAACTATTTTAATTTTAATTATAAAAAAATTTTATAAAAATCCATAAGAAACCCTAAACATTTTGAATTTTTACATAAATTTGGAAAACTATGGGATTCTAAAAAAAATTGTAAGATTTGAATTGATATTAAATCGAAAAATTTTTTTGATTACATTTTGTCCTAATGCACGAAAAAGTTACCCATTTATCAAAAAACAAACATTAATAAATAAGTAATTCTTTGATTTTTTTTTTAATGCATTCATCCCGATATAAACGAGAAAGGAGAAATATTAGATATTAAAAATGGTGAAACAAAAGATCTAATGATAAAAGATCTAAATGTAGTGTAACGATTTAAACGATCGAGATTATTCGTTTTTCAAAGATCATCATTGATTATTCCTATTTTCTTTGATGAGAATCATTATTATTAAGGTAGACAGGAACGTCGAGTGCGTACGGTTAACAAGGGATAAGACAAAGATTGTCCTTTTAATTGAGCTGTGATTTGTAAGAGATAAGCTTTTCCTGGTTGCAACCTCTTAAGGGTAAATGGAAGCGCTCGATCTTTCGGCGGATTTTCTTTTTCCTCGCAGATCTCGAAAGTATATTCGGAACGTCGTCGACGATGAAGACCACATTGGTCTGGAATAGTTGTCATGCTGGCCAAAGACGAGCCGCTCTTTAATTCTCGCACTAGGATGCAATATTTGGCTGAACCTGCTGATTCCACCCCTACTGTCACCTCGTGGCAAGTTCTTAGGGATCCATACTCACGTGGTATACTTCTCGTGGGAATCTAAACAAGATTTTCAGCTCTTCTTATAATTCTGAAGTTTAAATATTTGTTCTTAATCGTTGATATTTTCAAAAAATGTAAATTTAAGTATCTTTATAATATATATATACACATTTATTTATTATATAATTAAATAATAGATATTTCATTAGAAATTAATAAAATTATGTCAGAAATCAAATTTTTATTAACGAAATATTTTTATTTTTTTTTTAGAAAATATTAAAAAGTATTATTATATACAATTTTAAATGAAAGAGAAAATTTCTTTTTATACATTCTTCACATAGAAAAAATAAAAAATAGAAGAAGTATATAATGTAAAAAGAATAAATATTACAGTAATAAATATTGCATAAATATTACTGTATATTAGTATAATGTAAAACAATATTGATATAATTGCTGTTCTTAAAATAATTTTTATTGTAACACAATAATCTGTTACTAAATTTTATATATATATTTTTATTAAAATTAAACATAAAGCGTACTTAGAAAATAATTTTACACTTTTAATGGATTTTATTCAGTACGTATCAATTTGTATGAACATACCTGTGGATATATGGCAGACGATTCTTGGGTAGCTAGTACTTTAATGGCAGATACTCGTACTAATTCTTGTGGTGTAGCGGATATCCGTAATGTGTATCCTTTCCCTGAAGTTAAAGGTGGTACCCTTAATGATGCATATCCTATTACCTCCTTTTCCTACAAATGTAAATCTTCTATGACATTGATATCTAACATCAACGACTTTTCGAGAATGATATGAAATATCATATCTAATAAAAATGAAATATTTCTCAAAAACATAAATAGATATTTAAAAGTGATGAAAAAAACATTTATTATAAATTATTCTAATAATTCAAAAAATTAATTTGTAAACTTTAGTTTCTAATTTTTAAGATTATTATTATATTTATAGAATTTTCAAAATAAAATTTTTCTTTAATTATAAATTCAAAAATTATATAGTTTTGATATTTCCAGAAAAATGATTATTTCTACATGCTTTTAAAATTTTTTTACTTTATATTTTAAAGTTATAAAAATATAAAACATAAGAATATACTAAGAATTAGTGGATTCAAGTAAATAAGATTTTAAATACTTAATATTTTGCTTAATAAAATTGTGATTACCATTCCATTTAATACAAATTCAAACGAATAGTTAATATTATAATGTTAAAGTAAAAATAAAATAAAAATTGAATTGAATTTTTATTTTTTTTTAATGAAGACCTGTAAATATATATTAATTATAACTGGAACATGGTTTATTACCCTTAAAATTCCTGGAGCACTTAATTTTGCTCTAACGATGCCGCCACCGCAAGGAAGAATATAAAAGATACTCGAAATATTTGCCGGAGGACGATAAAAGAAATTGACGAATCCATCGGTTTTACGCAAATTGGCTGTGCTATAATGCCCAGTGCGCAATCTTAACTCCGATGTTTTCCGAAATTTTATGGTATCAGTCGCTATACGGTTCGATACATTATTTCGTGTATTTACCTTTAACACAGAATAAAAATAATGATTATAATAATGATTATAATAAATCATGAATTTCTTTCATTTTATGAATTTCTTTCAACTATAAGCTATAGAGTGCGATGGTCGGGAAAACTGAAAAATATAAATATAAATATACATATAAATACAAATTTATTAATTTCGATTATTTAAAATTATCGTTGATTTGAATTAAAAATGAACCAACCATCGAACTTCAGAAGTAAATTAAGAAAATTAGATTAGAAGATTAAATAGATTAGAAGAAAATTAAATTATTTTTAAAATATATTAGGATAGAATAGGTTGAAGAGATCAAGTCATTCAAAAAATATATCCATATTAAATTCAGAGAGATATTGTTATTGTTAATTGATCTAGAATCTAGAAGAGGATCATAATCCAATATTAAAATATTATTAATAAAAAAATATTAATTTTGTTTTTATTTATCATAAAGTACAGCAGTAATTTAATAAAATATAACATATTATTAGTAAAAATTTTAAATAGGATATAATAGTTTTTTTGTTATTATATTACAAAGTCAGTGTTAGTCACTTCTAATCTTACTTTATCTTAATAAATAAAAAAAAATACAATGATTTAAAAAGTAATATAAATAAAAATTTTTGAAGAAATTTTATATTTCATCTATTTATAATGAGAAAAAACAATTTATCAAGTTAGTGAGAAAATAATGTTGAGTTTTAAATACAATATATGTATTATATATACGTATTATATAGTATATATACGTATTATATATAACTAACATTATTTAAACTTTGTGTAAAATTTTATAAGATTGTTATATAGTCTACTAATAAATTTCGTTTACTTATTACATGAATAATTTCACTATTAAATTATAATAGCTTATCAAATTAAAATAAAATACACGATATACTGACACGTAATATTTATTTCAATAACAGAAAATATTTTTCATAAGAATATTTTTATTTATATTTTCTTTAAACTCATATAGAATGTTAATAGATATATTCAAATACTTTTGAAGGTATTCGATTTAAAAGGATGAAGCAAACATTTATAGAAATATAAAAATATTAATTTTATTTTTAAATTTTTATATAATATTTTTAAATTTAATTATAAAAGATTTATTTTATTAAATTATAAGCAATTTTGTATTAAACAAAGCGAGACAGAAACAGAATGAGATAGTTCTATCTCTATAACATATCTTTTTCGTCTCGTTTCATCAAATTTAAATTTCATATTCAATAAATAAGCTTTAATTGATATTTTTTTATATCAATTTTTGTTTATTTTGATCTTTAGAATCTTCCAAGAGTATTTCATAAATATATATTAATATTCTGTATAATAATCATTAAAAATAGAAATACATAAAAAATCTTAAACAAAATTATCTTAACTGTTACAACTATTTAATCTATATTGATTTTTAAATTCAGATGAGAATATTATTAAGAGAATTAAGAGAAAATATTATCTTTCTCTATGAAATGAAATTATAAGTACCATAAACAATATTTTCATATTTCAAATTATTTGTCTTATTAAAAATCTACATAACTTTTCCACCAGTTCAATATTTCCAATTTATTCAAAATCACATATTGCAGGCAATTATTATAAAATTTACTCCTTCTTAGTTGTAATTACTAACCACGTATAAGGTAAAATTGTACGTAGTGTCGTACTTCATCCTGTGAAGCGTCAATTTTGTTTGACGCACGCAATGAAGCCCTTCTGGAATACCGCGGTGTTGCTGTTCCTTGGAAGCAGAGCTTCCTTTCATCGGATGTGGGTGAACACGAAGAACATTTTGCGCCGCACAAAGGGTCAAGGGGTGAGGCTGAGACCCCGACGTTACGGCTAGACAATAATGAGAGAGGTGGGGATCTATGTTGCTGTAAAAACAAATCTTTCTCGAATTTGTCCTCTATATCTGAAGCTAATTTTAAATTTTCTGAGAATCAAGTTTAACATTTTGTCAATGAATCAAAGAAAATTTATTAAATGATTTATTTTTTGTTTATTGTCAATAAGATCATAACTTTATATAGGAAATTATTTAGGATTATGATTTTGACATTTGGTAAGATGGAAGATCTCTTTTCTAAATAATTATTAAAAGCATAATAAACAAAAAATGAAAGCTAACTTTAGAGATTTGCTTCATACCTTAAATATTTACTTTTTAATTTTTAAAATCTTATGTATAATATTTTTTAAAAGTGTGTAAAGATTTAAAAGAGCATTTTAAATATAATAAAAATATTTAAAATTATACAAAGATTAATATTAAATTTTATTAAATAATTAATTTTATTAATAATTTTCAATATTAAAATAATTTATTATTTAAATAATTTTAAAAACAATCAAAAAATGAAATATTTAAAATTATAAAATTTTAAAATTACAACGTATAAAATATTTAATTTGTGAAAAATTGATTTATATTAAATTATTTTGCTTTGATCTCTAAAGATTAAAATATTCACATTTGAGAGTGCAATGATTTTTGATTTAGAGATTTGATCACAAAAAAAATTATAAAGAAGGTTCTTTAAGAGATTATTATTTTTTATAGATTAATTTTAGTATTTTTATTTTATACAATTGCACCATTATATTCCTGTCACCAGTTCAACTCAAAGTCTTTTATCATTCAATATATAATAAAAAATGTATTAATTTTTAAAATTTTTCTCGACTTACATAAAAAAAAAGAGGATTAATTATTATTTAGTTATTAATTATTTGTATAAAAGTAATACACACACATGTGTGTGTGTGTGTGTGGTGTGTGTGTGTGTGTGTATTACTATATTTTATATATTTTATATGCATAAATATATATAGTATGTATATTATTATATATATGTATATTTTATTATATATATATAATTTTATATATATATAAAATTAATATACATATATATATTTATATTTATATAACACTTTATAATATGTATGTTAAAAAGAAAAAAGAAGAAAATTATAACGATACCTTTTATTCCAAGATATTGTAAGTCGACGTTTGCTTCTTCGTTGCTGAAATCTTAACGAACGATGACGATTTTCTTTTTCATTTACGTACAATTGGGGGATGTGGTTCAAGTTGCTTGACGTCGCGTACAAAAGCACCGTGCTTGGTAACAATTTTTCCAAATTGGCACCAGGAGGGTGCACGGATTTAATTTCGAACCAATAGAGGCCAGCGCGTGTTTTCGATATCGTGAAATTCTGATCCTCCGCACCTTCATACGAGAAAAGAGGGGAACCTGGCTTTAAACTCTTCACAGGCCATCGTGTTTGAGCTGTTGATTATATTTTGTCACATGTATTATTTTAATTATATTTATTTACAAATATATTTAGAAATATATTTATATAGAAATTTGTAAATTTCAAATTATTTCAATTTGTTAAATATTCTATCGATTAATATTTTTAAATAAAATCTGTGATAAGTTTTAACTTAAATTTTTTTTCATAATTCAAGAATAATTATTTCTACAATAATTTTGAATATTCATCAATTCGATAAAAGATTTTTTCTGCTATTTATTTCGGTAAATTTTGAAAAATAAAAATAAAATTTTAATCATATATTATGATAAAAAAAAATTGAATTTTTTAAAAATAAGATAGATTTTTATATGTAATATTATATAATAATTATATATATATGAAAAGTTGCAAAAGCAATAAAATTTTATTTATGTTCTGCTGTAATAATGTAATATTGAAAAATAATTCATTAAAATAATTGAAAGATAATAATAAACTTAATAAACTTAAAAAAGCATTTTCATATTTTATTACAAGATTTATTTATTGAAAAATTTGAAAACTGTAATAATATCAAAAACATTTTTTTCAATTTGAAATTTTTAACAACCTATATTAACAATAATATTAAGAAATGTTAAATACATTATAGATGATGAACATAAAAATATTTAGTGATTAATTATGTTTACATTATGAATTATATATACACTACAATATAATTTATACTTTATTACTACAAATTAACAAACATAATCATTATGAAAAAAAAATAATTAATAATTTAAAATAAATATTTGCATTTGATGCAATTTTTTAAATTTTCTTACTCTTTTCTTGCCAATTAATCTATTTGATAAATAAATTACACATTTTGCTCTCTTAAAAGAATAATAGAATTCGTTCGATTTTAAATTTTTTTATTAATTATAATATTTAATATATTTTAATTCCTACATACATTTTGTTCCATCTGTTTCTTCAGCATTCTCTGGTGGTTCAACGTAACTGACGGTCCATGATATTGGTCCACTACAAGGGCTAACAAGTAACGTGAGAGGTGGTCCTTCACGTGGACTCAGGTAATAGAACCTGCAATAATTTTATCTGCATCCAGTATTATATTAATGTTCGATACGTATTAAACGTAACCAGACACGAAGCAATATTTTAATCAAATGACAAAATTGATTTATAGGATAAAACAAATCTTGTTTTAATTATATTTATTAATTTTCTTTTTTTAAGCGATTAATATAATATGCAAATATTTTGTATATTCTTATAAAAAAAAGATATTTCTTGATTATTGATATTAATTATTCGCTAAAAATAGAAAAGAACGATTATATGATATATATATAATAAGATGTATATAGTCATTAAAATATAAAATATTAAAATTCATGTATGTAAATTTTGTATATAACAACATGATAAAAGATTGCTTTTTAGAAGAAAATATGAATTACAGAAATCATCTAAATTAGATTAATATGAATACGGCTTTTTTATTTATTTAAAAATTAATAATAAAAAGTCTCGATGTAGTTTTAATTAAAATAAATAAAAAATGAAGAATTTATCATATTATATTCTTCAACTATCGATCAAAATTTAAAAACGAAAAAATTTAATTTAAAAACGATCATTCGAAATCCATAAATCGAAGACAATTAATAAGTAAATTATCTCGTTTTATTAAATTTTGTACTAAAAAAGATACGTAAATAATTATAATTAGATTATGATGCAACAATAATATATTAAATATCAATTTAATTGTATTCGTAATTGTAATATTATATAATACTATGTAATATATTAAACATAAAATATATTTCGAACATACTTTCTATTATCGAAACGTATGACCATCAAATTTTCATTTATTTCTTCAAAAATAAAGAAAGATACGATTAATTATATAATTGCATCATTTTATAAGTGACGAATGAAAAATGTAACATTAAAGTGATATTAGAAAATCAGATATAATTACATAAATTGCACGGTTTACAGATATTAAAGGATTATATTGAAAAGTAATACTTAAATATAAATTTCTATCAAAATGATCAAAAATATTTTTTTCCACATTTCTTTTCAGAAAGGCAATAAATTATTAAGTTATTAAGTTGTTTTTGCGAATTCTTTACTTTGAAATACTTATTAAAATAATATTATTATAATTTATTATCTTAATCTATATTATCTAATAAAAATAATGCCTAAATTAATTTGAATAATCTATTTATATTTCTCATTATGTATTTCAAAAAAAAAGTAAAATTCCATTTCGAGGTAAAATAGTTGTAAAAAAGCAAAATAATTCGATTCTTCGTTTCATCATGATTTTATAAGTGCTATCCTTTTACATAATATTGCATTAAACGAAAAGATAAAGTGTCAAATATCTGGACAAGTTGAAAATCAACTTTCTATTTTAATTTATTTGGTTTTGATGTAGTTTTAACAGTTTGCAACCGATCATTATCGAGTCGTAAAGTGATCGTTTCTCACCATCTGCACTGTTATAAGAAATGTTTTTTCTAATTCTTTATCGATTTATTCTTGTACCAATGAACTTGTCAATCTATGTATGTTCTATGACGGCTAATTTTTAAGAAACAAAATAAAATACAAAATATATATAATTTATACTAATGAATAAATTTATATTAGAGAAAAAAAATATCACATATTTTTCGATCCGAAGAATTTTCAAGGAATATTATAACTTTGAAAGGGGAAAAATTATAAAACAAGTTTTTACGACGATTTAGAAATTTTAAATAAAACAATAATTATAGTTTATTTTGTTTTATAATAATTACACATTTAAAGTTTATTTCATCCAATCATTATAATAAGCATAAGAAACATTAGATTTAAACATTTCTTTTTTATAAAAAAATTCTTTAAATAAAAATCGAATTTTTTCAAAAATAATTATATATTTTAAATAATTTACATATAGATGAATGCATAAAGAATCTTTATAAAGACTCAATTTTGTCAATTTTAAACAGAATCATATCAAATAGAATAAATAATTATTCTCGAAAAATTTTTTATTTTTAAAAAATTAAACACTAAAAAAACAATTACATTACATCACATCCCTCTAAAAATTTATTTTACTCCAATTAAGTAAATTGCTGCTCCCTAACAATATATAGATCAAGAGAAACCTCTATCTACCCCCATCTCATATACCCATCCCATCCCTCCCGTATTTTCTCCACTCACTTGACCGACCTACGTAATTTCTCGGACAACAATACGTACAGACCCACCCACCTACGCCTGTGCTACACACACACACACACACATAGCATATCAAGGGTGTACGTAAATCCCAGTTACCCGTTTTATATTTAGTCGTAATGTTTGATCGCGCAAAAGTCCCCCTTTTAAAAGATCGTACACCAAAGTTAAGTTTACGCCTTCTCCGCTTCTCTCTCTCTCTCTTTTTCTCTCTCTCTCTTTTTCTCTCTCTCTCCTTCTCCTCCTTCTTTTCGCTCGATCTGTCCCTCCCCCTTCGACCGATACCCCCCCTCCCCCTCGTCCCCAACGCGTTTTGGACTCGTCCCGCGTTAACGCGAGGCCTGAGGAGAGCGTCGTCAAGACGCCGCACGTGCTCTTCGTTCACTGAAGCTGGCACTGAAAACGGCTATTGTAAAATTAGCGTCTACACACAATGCCGGCGTCGCGGCGTCTGGGGTCGCGCATCCACGACCCCCGCCGTCTAATTTTGGAGGCCGGTTTGTCCCACGGCAGACTCGGAATTGATTCTGTCATTCGGGCAGCGCCGCGAGGCCGTCTACCGTGTTTCGTGGAAATCCACGCCAATAGTGGAGCCTACGACGCGTGGCATCGCGACGCCTCTTCCTCGCACGCGCGCCGAACCTTAGCCTAGACCCCACTTCCGAGGGAAACGTCGCGCGCGACCTTTCGCTTTAAGCCTCTCACGCGCTTAGAGAGGCAGGGAGGGAGGGAGAGAGAGGGAAAGAGAGGGGGAAACGGGCGACGAACCCCGGCGTGAATGGAGTTCCTGAGAAAGGAGTTTGATCGTGATCGCTTTTCGCATCTTCGTTCCTTATATATGCGCGGATCTATGCAAGATGGGGGAAATGATTTGGAAAGTAATTTGATTACGAAGATTATTAGGAATCGTTTTGTTTTTGTAGGTTAGGTCGAATATTATTCAAGAGTGTTGCTAGTTGGAAATATTTGAAAAATTTATCGGGGAAACAAATTTTATGGGATATTATATGAAATTTTTATTTATGATATTGAATCGTGTTGCAAAATGTTGAAATGTTAGAAATAGTTTCTTCGAATTTTAAAATTTTAACCAAATAATAAATGATTTAGAAATAATCGAAATTAAGAAATTTCGATTTTAAGAATTTTTTGATCAGAAGAATATTATTCGTTATTCGAATAAAAATTTATTACCTCTGAATCTTTTTTTTTTTAAGGAAAATATTTGTTTGACGAATAATATTAATATTGAGTTAATATATTAAAATATATATTTGAAATATTATATTTTCAAGAAAAGTTTATTCGCAAAATCTATTTTCTCCAAATTGTTAGGTTTGAGAAGATTTTTGATATATAGTTTAAAATCAATTTTTAAATTTAGAAATTTCATGTACAGAAATTATTCTGTATTCTATGAAATCAAATAATAAATTTATCATACATTAAATACAATAAAAAAATATTAAAATAATTATTTCAAATATGTTCTTAAAATAATAAATAATAAATATTTTATTTGAATATTTGTTTGAAATATATATTTCGTATATAATGCCTATCTCGCTGTCAGCTAATGGAATTTGTATTGCTTGGCTATTTCTATTGTTAAACGTCGACAGATGCGTCTATAACATTAGAACACTGGTTCCTGGCTTATTTCGAATCGTGGCCCCCTTTCGTAATAACAAATAGCTTCCAAATTGTGTCCTCATTTACAAAAAGCAATAATAAAAGCAGTGTTAAAACATTCAATAGTAAAATATTGCAACATAATTATATTGAAATGAATAAATAAAAAATTCCTCTTAACTAAAATTCTTTACAAAAATAATTAATTTGAAAAAAGTAATGACAAAGTAATAACGTTTCGACGATCGTGATTCACAAATAAATTGGATGTTCGAATTTTAAAATTTTAATCAAATAATAAATAATTAGAAATAATCAAAATTAAGAAATTTCGATTTTAAGAATTTTTTGATCAGAAGAATATTATTCATTATTCGAATGAAAATTTATTATCTCTGAATCTTTTCAAAATTTAAACATACTTATACATACATCTTAACGATGAATGAACAATTATAAGAGTTAACAAGAGATTAAAAGATAATTTCGCGTATTACTTGCATTTTCGAATCTTCTGACAGATTCTTGTTTAGATATTGAAACAATCATTCTTCTGTATATTTGAGCGATTTGTGTAATTGCACATGATATAATGATGATTATAATATTATTCATTTATTGTTTTTGAAACAAGATCATTTTTAGCAAAAGGATATTAAATTGAAAACATAAAAGAAATATCTAAGAAATAATAAAGATTCTTCTTGTATAAATAACGTGTGAATAAATTAATAAATATTATTTTATGAATTTTATCATAGATTTTATTTTCTTATAAATAATTAATGTGTCTTTTCTTTGTATATTTCATATCATATGTAAATTGAATTCCATATATTCCGAAAAATTTTAAGTAACTTGATAATAATTTAAATAATAATTATACACAAGTATATTAATAAAGAAATTTTAATTATTTATACAAACTATTTACTTTAAGATGTAACACATCATAAAGTTCACTATATAATAATCAAGATTTAGAGATAATTAAAAAAACACTATTTACAATTCCTCTTCTTTTGTTAACTGACCTATCAAAAAATTAAATATATGTGTGTTAAGTTCAAGTTTAACGTGCAACCTAGCGTTTCAATCTTTGAAGTAATTGTGCAATTAGACTTGCGTACGAGTTTCGCGGAAACCATCTGATAGCAGGACTTTATGACGCGTAGCGTCGCGACGCATCGGACCATTAAAACTACGCGGGTGGATCCATTGCAACAAAGTAGAGTTTGACGACAATACCTGCTCGACAAAATGACGTACACCTACAGAATTTTAATCCCTTTGAGAGAAAATTTTGCGCGTAAAACGAAATAATCAATATAGAGAAAAATAGATCGCAAGATAATGTAATAAATAAAATAATTCATTTATTATTAATTATTGATTTATTCAAAATTATTGCTATTTCGGGAGGAAGAAAAAAATTTTCCTTTTGGATTGTACATATTTATCTGTATCTGATTTGTAGAAATTTTAATAAAGTTAAATTAAACAAGTGTTTTTTTTTTTTCGTAAAAATATTAATAGAATTTAAGGGAATGATATTATTAAACTTCGTAACGTAAGAATATTATTTTTCTTCTTTTACAATAATTGGTAATTGTTAATTATTTAAATTCTATTTTTTTGAAGGTTTAAGGTCGTATTAATGACAATTTTATTAGATGCATTTTGTATAAGATAATCAGACTTTATGATGAAGATTTGTTTCTTATATTCATACGTTATATAAATCTATGAATCTATGAAATTATAAAATCTATGAAATCTAGAATATTATTGTTTTTTCTCCCTTTCTCCTCCTTTGTATGAGGACAATGATTAATTGATTAATTTACAGTGAAGTTCACGTAATACGAAGTTCATTAAAGTATGACTAACTAGATTGTAAAGTTCACACAATATACAAATACATTAATTATGTTAAGTACATGCTGTTAACGTATAATAATACGAAGAACTATAAATTTAACTAATTGTTTTAGCTAAGTTGGTATTAATCGTTTCAATATTATCGGTATTGACTTTTCATAAATTGAAAAAAGTTCAATTTTTAGTGCTCTATCTATTGTGAAAAATGTTTCTAGATATAATTGTATTCAAAATAAAATTAAAAATAATTTTTTAATTGTTAAAATATAAAAATGTGTCAATGCATTGTGTATGTGCATTGAACTAAAAGTTCATCGACAATTTTTCTTTTTCGTAATAAACTTCGAATGAAAGTATATTCAAAGATTAAACTCGTTATTTTATATAATTAATATAAAATTAATTTAACAATTCGTTAATATCAATACATCAGAGCAATATTTTTTATTTCTCGCTCGCAAATCTATATTTTGATTAATAAAAAAAAGTGCCAAATAAATAATAAATAATAAATAATGAAGATACAATGATAATTAATGAATTTACTTCGTTTTAATTTTTTCATCCATGTATAAATCATCATCGAATCACTTATGCGAATTATTATATCATTCGCCAATAATTCGAATCAAATTGCATTTGTAAAATCTGTGCTACAGTTGATAAAACATGGTACGGGGTTCGTGACGTTCTCGTATAAACGTTCAAAGGTCCATGGGTCTGGGTACACGTGCATCGAATAAACAAGCTATGTAACCCAAACGAAATTCGCACGAATTGTTTCTATGGTTCGGCGAAAAGTGAATGCACCTTTCTTACGGTTTCGTTTATCTTTAGATCAAAGTTTAACTCGATCGAGAAAAAAACGTCACTGAATTTCACCGATCTTTCTTACAGCTGAAATCCACGTTGGTTGTAATGGCAAATTACATTTTAACAATGTAAATTTTAAGCTAAAATTCTGAATAACTCGATTCCGTCATTAATACAAGATAATATGGATAATTTTAATATTTTCCTTACGTTAGAATAAGATAATTTCAGATTAATGATTTCACTTTTGATAAGCCTACAATTCTGTCAATTCTCAGTTTTAAAACATGACATCGAATTTCATCGATCTTTCTTATGAGATCCACAACTTTTCACAATTTCGTTTTACGATGAAAATTCTAAGAAATAATTCGATTCTTATATGATTAACATAGACGCACGATTTTATTATCTCAACTCGTGGCCTTTTATTACGAATAAGATATAAGATATAAGCGTGTGTTTCAGATCAATGATTTCACTTCGACTAAAATGGTCTCAGTTTCCAATTGTTTTTTCGTACACGAGTGAATTGTTGCATAGATGAACTGGTGGTTTCTAAGATACATTAGTCATTCTAGCATATCCCGATACTTGATAGTCAGAGGTGTAATACGTTCTCGGTAATGTAATCTACAGGTATCTACGTTTCTATTATATTGCCCGGCCAAAGGATTTGGCATTCCAAGCGAATTGGATTGGTAACGCAATCCGTGTTACTTCGATGATAAAATAGTTTGTTCCATGACGGAAACGAGAATAGAATGCTATTTGGAAAAGATAGAAAAATTGCTTACAGATATAAGACGAAGAAAACGCGTTAATCGTGTTTTTATTCTCATTATTATATTTATAGACATAACAGTTCAATTACAATATTACTACTGTTACGTCTTATGTAATTATGTAATTATTTTATTTTCTTTTTTTAACTGTACACACGAAAAGGATAATTTCACTTTGCGATATAAATCAAATAAATGATACACAGGATGTTCACGATATTGCCAACCAACGTTTTTCCGATCTCTTTTTGCCAGTAAAAGGATGAAAAAGAATAGAATTTTGCAGCCTCTTATAATCAACTTAATAGCGTGCATTAACCTTTTTTTTTTTTTTTTATATTTGTTTTATATTCTTTGATCAGGAAGGGGGGTGATCTTTAATCTTTTTAAAGGAATGCCGTACATTCCCCTCCCCCCTCTCCTGGTATTTGAAAGCTTATTACGACAAATTCATTCATCGTACCATCCATTTCTCAAAATTTTCCTATACAGAAAAATGAAAGAAAATACTTTGAAAATACATTTCGTATATTCGATGATTTTCAATTTGCTCAGTAAGTAATTATTCGTTTAATATAATTTTTATTTCTCGTTATTGTTTATTCAAACTTCCGCTTTAGTCCAGTGTTCATAAAGTTATAACATAAAGTCTTTCGAATGTTTTATCTCTACGAAATTGAAAGTTGGCGAAAGTTTATCGATTATAAAGTTCAAAGAACTTTATAAAACATTTTTCTCGATTAATAAATACTCGTGAACGGGAAATAGGAGATACGATTAAAATAATTCATTACGAACAATTGATACAACAACTGATTTACCTGCTCGACCAACATTTATTATCATTTATCCCCCCCTATTTTTATTAAATTTTATTGTTATATCGGATGTATTTTCTGTTCCATCGGATACATCATTACATCAAAAAAAAAAAACCAGATCGTTAATCCTTTTCAGGAAGGAAAATCTTTGCGTTATTATTATTACGTTAAACGAAAATGAAAATCTCCAAAAGGAGTCTTTTGACGAGGAAAGAAAAAAGAAAAAAAGAAGCCAGATGGATTAAACTTTTCAGGATTAAACAAAAATGAAAATCTCCAAAAGGAGACTTTCGACGAAAGAAAAAAAGAAAAAAAAAAAAAAAGAAGGAAGAACGAATGCAAATACTCACTGAGACACATTACCGGGTCGAAGGGTGGCCGGTATCTGGTACTCGGGGTGTAGCACGCCGGTCCTGTTGAACTCCTGCACCCTCGTCGGTTTCTCGCCGCCGAAAGGCCTCGGGCTGCCGATCGTCTTGTACCCCTGCTGTTGCTGCTGCTGGGACAATTGATGTAGCTGGCGCAGCTGCAACTGTTGCTGGGACAGTGTCTCGCAGAAAGCGCAACCGGTGGCCTGCCGCGCGTACATTGGCACAAATACGAGGAGGAAGAAGCGGAGCGACGCGTGACGCATCGTCTCGGCCGATGATTTCCCTTCTTTCTTCTTGCACCGAGGAAGGAGAGGAATAATTTGCGGCTGGATGGAAAAGGGCGACGGCGACGCCGCGACGTCCGTCGTCCAGTGGCGAACGAGTTCGACTGTGTGCCGAACGGTAGACGATGCCAGTCGGCGAGCGAGGCTGCTGCCAGCTTGGGAAACCACGCTGAGACGAAACGAAATAACCCCTCTTCTCGCTTCCTACCGAGGCGACTTCATGTTTGCCCCATCTTCTGGAAGGAACCCTCTCCCCTCCCTTCCCCTCCTCGTCCTTGCCTCCTTTCCCTTGCTCTCACAACCCTGCCTCGTAAGTAAGCCCGGCCTGGCCGAGCTGTGTGCACTCGTTACTCGTACGTCCCGCCTCGTGCATAGCGCCACGGAGAGCACGTGTTGTGTATATACACACGTACCCATCCAATACGTGGGTGACCCTGATCCGCAGGAATTTCGGGAGGAGGAGGAGGAGGAAGAGAAGGGGAAGGGGGAGGGGGGGATAGAGGAAGGGGATAGGGAAGGTTCCGCCAATTTGTCCACCAAGATTAACAGGAAGTCCGTCAGGGAGGGCGTGCTGTTCCCTAGGGGTGGCAAGCCAAGCCCGAGAGCTTTATCCTCTCGGTGCTCAGCTTCGCGTTCGCTCGTTCGGTTTCTTATCGCTGGTTTCCCCTTGACGATGGCCTTGCGATATTTATTTGATTGTTTGTTTATTCTTTTTTTTTTGAGATAGAGTGAAGAAAAGAAAGGGAGAAAAAGGGAGGGGAGGAAAGAAAATATGGGAAGTTAAGTTTCGAGGAAATAAAGTTCGGAGGAAAATTTTGAGAAATGGATGGTACGATGAATGAATTTGTCGTAATAAGCTTTCAAATACCAGGAGAGGGGGGAGGGGAATGTACGGCATTCCTTTAAAAAGATTAAAGATCACCCCCCTTCCTGATCAAAGAATATAAAATATTTTTTTTTTTTTAAGCAAGAGAATATGTATGCGTGTGTGTGTTTTTAATTATTATTATTCAATTGGAAATTAATTTTTTATACTATATATTAGTCATTCTGTGCTCGCTTGTATGTAACTTTCTTTGTACATTTAATAATAATTAAAAGGTAAGTAAAACGAAGATTAGAATCTTTTGCAACAGTCATTGCCGTTCATTTACTACATTATTACGTTCATTTATTACATTAATATTTTTTTGTTTCCACTTTATAATGGCAAGTTTTTACACATGCTTATACATTTAAGTGTTATTTGGTTTGTTATTTATTTTATGACTTATGAAGCATCGAAGAAAGTGATAAAATATTTTTGATTAATAGAAAGAGACAATTCTAAAAATAGAAAAAAATAAAATAATTTATTAAAAAAAATAAATAAATTTATTATAAATATTTCATATTTCATAAATTTTCTAATGTTATTTGTTTGTTTCTTCTTCTTTTTTTTTTTTTTGATTTATAGTCATTTCGAAACTTTCTCTGTGTTTAAAGATTCGAAAACAAAACTAGCGGTTTTTCTTTACAACTTCTAAAATTGATTTGAAATAACATTTACCAATTTGAATTATTTACTTTTATTGTTATAAAAAAAAGAATTGAATTCCATTTCGAGATAAAGAAGTTAGATCCAATATTTCATTTCGTCGTCATTTTTCAAGTATTTCAATCATTCTATTCAAATCACATTAGACTAAGCGAAATAGATAATGTCAAATGTATAATATCTGTTGAATAGAACAGTTTGAAAAGGAATTAATTCTATTCTAATCTATTTGGTTTTGGCAGTAATTTTAGCAGCATGTCTAGAATTACTATGTCTCAAAATAATAATATAACCAACGTTTTTTTCCTTAATATATCAACCTATTTCATATATTTAATCCATTAATCTACTTATTTTATTAACAACATAATGACTCTTTTTAATTAACTCTTAAAAAAACAAGAGAAAATTAATTTAAACAATGACTTTAGAAAGTATTTGTATCCCTTATCTTATATACAAGGAAATTTACTTAAACTCAAAATTTACTTTAACTCAAAAGTTAAGATTTTAATGAAAGTTTTTATTGTAAAACATAATGAATTATCATACATGAAATCATTATTTTAATCTTTTTGAGGGAAATCAATCGTTACAATTTTTTTCATTTTTGTAAATATAATTTTGAAATAAAATTATAAAATTATAAAATTTTTCAAACAAAGAAACGTTTAATTTCTAATGCTTTGCTATTTTGAAATAAAATTGCTCTATTACTACGAAAAATTGTTTAGACAATATTTTTCGATCGATAATATCTTCGAATTAAGTATCTGTTTATACACTTTCGCTTTTATGATACAATAATTTAATTCTCTTTTTAACAATAAAGAATTATATTACATGAACACTGAACTATCAAGAATTATCGATTTAATTAAAAATTATCAAATCAATGAAAAGAAAAGTTATATGGTATAAAGGCTGATAATAAGATGCAAATTGCTAATACGATATTGTTGAGATTTCATAATATACGACTCGAAAGCGTTATATCTACAGAGATATTATATAATCATAAAAGTAGGTAGAAAATGTAAGAAACTGACTCTAGAGATTAAAACAAATACGAAAGTTGATATGCAAAAGTGTCTATTGAAGCTTATTTTTCAAGTTATAAGCAACTTCGTTTTATCGCTAGATGAACCGATATAATTTTAACCTTGTCACACTATTTTTTACCTAACTTGATACAAAATTATTTGTAATATGAAAAGTAAATTTCAGCGGACATTTTTGTATACCAATTTTTGTATTATTTTGTATTTAGCCTCTAGAATCATTCTTTAAAAAGACTATAATAATATAAAAATAATTATACGTATATATATTTTCATAAAATTTAGAGTTGCATTAATTCTCTAATTCGCACCAAACTTTCAAAAACCTAATTACTTTTTATCAAATAATAAGCAATAGTCCAAAATCTGCATTTAATTTATATGACACGATATATATATATATATATATATCTTTATAAATATTTTAAGCATGAAATAAATAAAGATACAAAATTTTTAATTGCAATTTTACAAAAAAAAAAAAAATTAAAGATTCGAATTACCATAGAATCATTCAACTTTCTATAGATATCGTTAAATTTAATACATCGATGAAATATGACGTCTCGTTACTCATCTACGTCTTTTCTGTCTTGTACTTTTACCTTTCTATAATATATATTACTAACCCCTTCCTATTGGAAATATAAATTCATCGAATCCCGCAATGACATTGCATCGCTCATCTGCATTGACTCTTACGAAGAACATGTGTTTTCCCTTCCTCGAGTAGAATAATAATAATAATAATATGATAGATTTCCTTAAGTTTAGTAAGTGCGATTGCTCATGTTGCGGCTAACATAGAGACAAGAAGAGTAACGACCTGCGGGCCGAAAATCGTCGAAACCTGATTCGTAATTGAGCACAAGCGAGTAAAACTTTCACAAGCATTCCTCGTGTTGTTGTCGGGTTGTGCATCAAGTGCATCCGATCATTTGCGACAAGAGGCGCATCGTCTTGCAATTAGTAGTCTTGCAAAAAGAAAAAAGAAGAAGGAAAGAAAGAAAGAAAGAAAGAAAAAAAGAAAGAAAGAAAGAAAGAAAAGGAAAAAGAAACTCGAGTTTCATTTCTACGAAACGGCTAGTCACGTTACGAATCGCCTTTTGGAATAAAGGTACCGTTCGATAAAGAGGCGTCCTTGGTCCTTGGAAAGAGGAGAAGAAAAAGAGGCAAGCCGTGTTGCACACTACCTACGCACAGATAATGTCCGTGGCGTAGATAAGAAGGAGGTAATTATTAAATGGCGACGAGTGCGGCAGATATCGGGCTACATAAGGTAAAACAAGGTGGATGGACGGTTGTGGAGCGGCATCAAACGGGGGCCTTCCACAGTTTCGCCGGGGTGCGAGGAAAGAAGGAGTCGATACGGCGCGAAGATCGTGCAGAAAGGGAAGTTATATACGGTACGCTTCGCTGTATCTTGGACCAACCATGGGACGATGATGACAGCAGGTCTGGCGGGTGGCAGGCCAATAAATCATGGCTTACAGTGTGGGAACCTCTGCCTATATGCCCCTCTCTGCGTGTATGGGGTATGCCATCAGTAAAACCTTTACTCCCGTGAGTCGATCGCAGGGTGACCACGTACGTCGTACGTGCATATAACTCTTTCTCTCTTTCCCTCTCTTTCCGTCGTGCGAGCGGCAACCCGAGCCCCTTCTCTCCACACTCTTCAACGGGATGCATACTCCTCGGGCCACCGCCCGCCCGTCCGTGTGTGTACAAGAAAACACACACGACAGGCCGACGTGGCTTGATGATGCAGGCGTTGCGCCCTCTGTGTAGGTGTACGTTCCTTATGAATACATCATACATTGTTACAGCGAGGGGCAACGATGTATCTCGGTATAATCAGTAATGGCGCTGCCGGCTCATCGGGGATCGGCCTTTTTCGGTAATCACTTCTTTTCCGATCCCTCTCTCGCAGCCTTGCCATTCAACCGTGTCAGCAATATTGTACACTCGAGGAAGATCTACTCCGTCCATAAACGGCGGATCAATAAACAAAAAAAAAAAAAAAAAAAAAGAAGAAAAGGAAAGAAAAATGTGAACATCGCTGTAGCCATGTTGCGATTAGCGATAGATAGGAGAAGTCGAGTTCAACGTGTGATCCAAATCAAATTCAACGGAATAGAATTCGATGGTGCGATATTAATGGAACTGAACGTTCCAATAATGAATCGAAAAAATAGTGATCGAATTGAATAAATTTATGAATATTATATAGAATTATGGATAATGAAAATTTTGAAAATAATATGTATTTGGTTACAATATAATTTCGTTCGATAAATACGTATGAAAATATCGTATTTATGTGATATTTTTAATATCTATGTAATTAGATTATCGCAAATATTACACACTTCAAAAAATGA